TAAACTGGGCGGTGCTTGGCATACTGCCATATAACTTGCTTTTTCTTCACCACATTTTTGAAAGAGTATTTATCTGTTTGAAAGTCAGACACACACACAGGAAGAGAGAGAGAGAGAGAGGAGAATCTTCTGTCCGCTGGTTCACTCCTCCAGTGGTTGCAATGGCCAGGGCTCAGCCAGGTCAAAGCCAGGAGCCAGGAGTCTCCTTCTGGGTCTCCCACATGTCTGCAGAGGCCCAAACACCTGGACCATCCTCGGCTGCTTTCCCAGACTGTTAGCAGGTAGCTGAATTGGAGGTGGAGCAGCCAGGACATGAGCCAGCACCCATATGAGATGTTGGCATATGCAATGTGGCAGCTTTACCCCTTATGCCACAATGCTAGCCTCCTCACCAAATATTTTTTAGACTTTTTTCTACATCAGTGCCTGTGGATCTGTGTTTGGCTTGTTTCACTTAGCATTATATCCTCTAGGCCCATCCATGTTACCACAAATGATAACATTTCCATCTTTTTTTTAAAAGATGAGTAGTATTCCATTGTCCATGTGCACCACAGTGTCTTTCTTTTATTTATTTTTTATTTTATTATTATTTTTTTTTACTTGACAGAGTTAGACAGTGAGAGAGACAGAGAGAAAGGTCTTTTTTCCGTTGGTTCACCCCCGAAATGGCCGCTACAGCCGAAGCTGAGCTGATCCGAAGCCAGGAGCCAGGTGCTTCTCCCTGATCTCCCATGCAGGTGCAGGGGCCCAAGCACTTGGGCCATCCTCCACTGCCTTCCTGGGCCACAGCAGAGAGCTGGACTGGAAGAAGAGCAACCGGGACTAGAACCTGGTGCTCATATGGGATTCCAGCGCTGCAGGCGGAGGATTAACCAAGTGAGCCAGGGCACCAGAGAGAGAGAGAGAGAGAGGTCTTCCATCCTCTGGTTCACTCCCCAATTGGCCGCAACGGTCGGAGCTGCGCTGATCCAATCTGAAGCCAGGACCTTCTTCCAGGTCTCCCATGTGGGTATAGGGGCCCAAGGACTTGGGCTATCTTCTACTGCTTTCTCAGGCCATAGCAGAGAGCTGGATCGGAAGTAGAGCTGCTGGGTCTCGAACTGGTGCCCATATGGGATGCCGGCACTGCAGGTGGCAGCTTTACCCGCTATGCCACAGCCCCGGCTCCCAGTTTCTTTATCCATTCATTCATTGATGGGCACTTAGGTTGAGTCCATATCTTCGATATTAAGAACAGTGATCAGTCTTTTTTTCAATGACTCTGTCATGTAGATGAATCAGAGTTGATTTGTATAGACCTCCTTAATGGGCTGTATGTCATCTCCTCTTTTCTGGTGTTCTAAACCTACATTCTTTAATATGCTAGCCACCAGATGTATTTGGCAATTTAACTTAATAATTAAAAGTAATATTAAAATCAGTTCATCAGTCAGATGAGCCACGTTTCATGTGCTCAGTAGCTCCCTGTGACTAGCGCTGATGTGGAATTTTCCTGTCACTCTGTGAGCTCTATTGGACAGTGCTGGTCTACTCGACTGGTTTTCAGACTCTCTGAAGTGCCTTGCTTCCATGCATTCCTTTATTCAGCCATTGATCATTCATTCAGCGAGTAATTATTGGGTGCTTCTTGTGTGCCAGGCTCTGTCCAGGTACTTGGCTCTCTCATTCAGGAAATGCCTGTTTAAGTCAACTTGTCATTACTATACTGAAATACATGGGGTGGGCTTACTTTGTCAAAAAAATTGGTTTATTTTGGCCTGTGGTTCTGGAGATTCATGTTCCAAGGTGAAGTAGGCCTGGTTAGTTTGGAATCTGTTAGTGTCATTCTTGGCGACAGAGTCCCAAGGTGGCACGGGACATTTCAAGGCAAGAGACAAGGAACACACAGGTCTGTTTCTGTCTGTCTCTGTCAGTTGGGGATCCTCTAGCTCTTTCTCTTTCTCCTTAAGAGCTGCCAGGATTCTAGTTCACCATGTGATTTTTTCCTACTGTACTCTCTGCCATCACAAACCTCCACCAAACTCTAGACTAATGGGGCCACCTGATCCTGAGCTATGCATGTCCAAACTCTAAGATGAATGAAATTAATGTTTTCCCATCCAAGAGGCTCCTCTGGTGTAAAGTAATGAAACACTGACTAATGCAGGTGTTTATTGAGGGTCTGGACTATTATACTCACCACAGGTTATATTGTATTTACAGGGCTTATATATATATATATATATATCATTAGATTATGTGATTTAAAAATATTTATGTATTTATTTGGTACAGACTGAGAGAGAGAGGAAGGGAGGAGAGAGAAAGAGTGAGAGAGAGAGGGAAAGAAGGAGAGAGAGGGGAATGGGGGGGGAGAGGGAGAGGGAGAAGGAGAGAGAGAGAGAGAGAGGTATCAAGAGATCTCCCTGCTCATTTCCTCCTAAAATGCTCATGACAGCTGGAGCTGGGCCATGTTCAAAGCCAGGAATCAGGTGCTCAATCTAGGTCTCCCATGGGGATGATAGGAACCCAACAGGGTCTGCATTAGCAGGAAGCTGGAGTCAGGAGTCCTGGGAGAGGACTGAACACAGGTACTCTGAAGTGAGATACAAATATCTTCTGCTGTCTTAGCTGTTAGGCTATAAGCCCGTCCTGGGATGATGTGATATTTACTCGTCTCTGTAACCCTAGCCACCACTAATTAGGCACACCTGAGGGTAGTTTAAACATTAATAGGAAATTGAATTGAAAAAATGACTTACTATAAAATGAGGGAAACTGATATCATTGGGATTTTGTTAATGTTTACAGTCATTGTCTGTATGCCTGTTGAATAGTGGTTTTTCTACTTTTAATTTTTTGATATCAATATTTAGTGGAATATTATGCCTATGATCAAAAAGTAAATTAAAAATATGTAATTGCCAAAGTTAAAAAAAAAGGAAGAAAGGAAGGAGGAGAGAAGTCTTTTTTTTTTTAGAGTTGTATCTAGGAAATTTTAATCTGTTTATATTAATAAAACATTTTGGAAAATAAAACAAAAAGCCGGCAGGATTCAATCATGGGGCCCCACCCCAAATACTTAATCTAATCTTAATCAATTTCCAAAGGGCCCATAGCTGAATTAAGTTTCCACCTTCCCTTACAACTTTGGGGTTTCAACTCCTGCACAAGTTTAGGGGCCAAATATTCAAAGCACAGCAATGCCTTGTTCTCCTGTTAAGTTTTCTTCATGTTGAGATGCTCACCTTTATATTTCTTTTTTTTTTTAAGACTTATTTATTTATTAGAAAGGCTGAGTTAAAGAGAGGCAGAGAGAGAAAAAGGGAGGTCTTCCATCTGCTGGTTCACTTCTCAGATGTCCGCAATGGCTGGAGCTGCGCTGATCTGAAGCCGGGAGCCAGGAGCTTCTTTTGGGTCTCCCAAATGGGTGCAGGGGCCCAAGGACTTGGGCCAATCTTCCACTGCTTTCCCAGGCTGTAGCAGAGAACTGGATCAGAAGTGGAACACACAGGACTCAAACCAGTGCCCATTTGGGATGCCAGAACTACACGCAGCAGCTTTACCTGCTACACCACAGCGCGGGCCCCTCACCTTTATATTTCTACACTGTGATCTTTAGGGTTAGAAAGACTCTCTATAGGACAGAAGCTAAGTCCAGGTTGTTAGATGGCTCCTGCAGTTAGGAAGCAGGGTCCTAATATCTTCCCCCTGAGTGTGTGCTTATCCTTACATTCATTTAACAATTTTTTTTTTTTTTGATAGAGTGGACAATGAGAGAGAAAGAGAGAGAAAGGTCTTCCTTTGCCACTGCTTCACCCTCCAATGGCCACCGCGGCCAGCGCGCTGCTGCCGGCGCATTATGCTGATCCAAAGCCAGTAGCCAGGTGCTTCTCCTGGTCTCCCATGCGGGTACAGGGCCCAAGCACTTGGGCCATCCTCCACTGCCCTCCTGGGCCACAGCAGAGAGCTGGCCTGGAAGAGGGGCAACCGGGACAGAATCCGGTGCCCCAACTGGGACTAGAACCTGGTGTGCCGGCACCGCAAGGCGGAGGATTACCCTGTTGAGCCACGGCGCCGGCCTCATTTAACAAATATTTTAAAAATTAGGGGGCCAGCACCGTGGCTCATGTGGTTAATTCTCCACCTGCGGCGCCGGCATCCCATATGGGTGCTGGGTTCTAGTCCTGGTTGCTCCTCTTCCAGTCCAGCTCTCTGCTGTGGCCCAGGAGTGCAGTAGAGGATGGCCCAAGTGCTTGGGCCCCTGCACCTGGCTCCGGACTTTGGATTAGGCAGTGCTCATTTGGGGAGTGAACCAATGGAAGGAAGACCTTTCTCTCTGTCTCTCTCACTCTCTGTAACTTTACCTGTAAAAAAAAATTATCTCTGATTTGGAAAAGGCACTTAATTCAAAGTAACTTTCTTCCATGGGCTTTTAGTTAGGGAATTCTGAAGGATGTAATGAATAATACTGTGGGGAGCAACTTGGACTAGACTGTTACTGGAATTAAGACTTATTCAATGCATCTGCTCTCCCACAATATGGCGCTGGGAGAGGAGGAAACAGCTTCTACACAGCTGCCTCCAGTTCAACCAATAAACAGCAGGACCTGCTCCTGATTGGAGGAGAGCAGCGTACTCGGCCTGTGGGTAGCAGAGTTGGGATTGGTGGAAGAGGACTATAAAGGAGGAGAGAGACAACATGCACCAGGAACATCTAAGGGGAACATCTATCTGAAGGAACACCTGTGCAGCCCCCGAGAGAGCCGGCCGGCGGTGTGCCACTCCCCCGCGGAAGTGGGGAAAGTGGCAGGGGGAACCGCCCTTCCACTGAGGTGGAAGGGACGGTAGCCAACCTGGGAAGAACCAGCAGCAAACCCGGGGAGGGCCGAGCAGGCAAAAGAACAACGCAGGGTCCTGTGTCGTTCCTCCACGAAGAGGGGGAGCGACATAATACTATTTAGAACAAATTCAGAAATGAAATAATTGATCAGATGTTGTTTTTTGATCTTTTTTAGGGCAAGTTAAAGTCTTCAGAGCTTTGTATACGTTTGAACCCAGAACTGTAAGTATTTTTGTAATTTTAAAATGGACATAAACAGCCCACAGTGATTTCATTTAGAAATTTCCTTGGCCTAAATGGTCTGCTTTTTTTTTTTTTTTCTTTGAGAGATGTAGGTAATTCCCAGGAATGCACAGGCAGTCCCTCCCACTGCAGTCCAGAGGTGTGTGAGCCTAGTCCTCAGGTCGATTTGCATGTTCCCGGAATCTGTACTGCTTGTACTGCTTCTCCCCCAACACTGCCACCACCTGCTTTCAAATCAGCAAGTGACTTGCATATTAAACCAAGCCTGTCTTTTCTTTTTATTAGCTTTTTAAAAAACTTAAAAAAGATTATTTATGTATTTTAATGGGAGGGAGGAATGGGGAGAGAGAGAGAGGGAGAAGGAGCAAGAGAGAAAGAGGGAGAGAAGGAGAGAGAGAGAGAGATTTCAGGAGATCTTCCATCTACTGTTCATTCCCTAAATGGCTGCCATGCCTGGGGCTGGGCCAGGCCAAAGCCTAGAGTCAGGAACTCCATATCTGGGTTTCCTACATGACAGCAGGGGCCCAAATACTCGGGCCGTCTTCTGTTGCCTTCTTAGGCACGTTATCAAGAAGCTGGATCAAGAGTTGATCAGCTAGGACTTAACTGGCTCTCTGATAGGGGAAGCTGGCAACCCAAGTGTTGGCTTAACCTGCTATTTCACAACACTGACACTTAGCTTTTGTTGTTGTTGTTTTTAACTTTTTAACAGTAATATATTTGAGATGGAGAGAGAGAACTGTATGGTGGTTCACTCCCTAAATGACCATGACAGCCTCTGGCCAGGTTCTAGCTGGCAGCCTAGAACTCAATCCAGGCAGGGCTCCCACATAAGTAGGAGGAACTCGGCTACTTGAGTCATCACTGCTAGTTCCCAGGCTTAGCAGGAAACTGGGATCAGGAGCCAGAGCTGAGCATTCAACCCAGTTCTCTGATGTGAAACAGGTATCCTAAGTGGCAGCTTAACTGGCAGGCAGGCCAAGTCTCCACCCTCGCCACCTGTCTCAGTGACCCTCCCTCTGAAGTTCCTGCCCATTCATGCCAGCCTCTATCTCCAGCTACCTCATAATGGCGTCTTCTGCCAACCTCCAAGAGCAATTTTTACGTGTCTGCTTCTGTTGTTATTGTTCCTCATATCCATCCATAAATCTACCCAGGCGTAGGTGGTTTCATGGATACATGAGAGCATGTATCCAGAGCTTGGAGGTAGTGCAGCACAGCTCTGTAGTCTCATAGAGCTTGCATCCTAGTGAGGAGAGGCAGAAAAATGAAGCGAGCTATCAGGGGCCAAGTGCTGTGGAGAAAAGTAAGAAGGGTAGGGGGCTAAGAGGTTAATGGAGGGGAGAGTGCTGTTTTCAGGAGATGTTTAGGGAAGGCCCTTTCTATGAAGGTGAAGTTTGGGAAGAGATCTGAAGGGAGTGAGGGAGGAGAGAGAACAGAAAGCACCAGGAGCATCCTTGATGCCTTCTAGGTGCAGCCTGGGCAGTGCAGGGAGTGGGGAAGAGCACGGCAGGAGATGAGTATGAGGGAGCGGGATGCTAGGGAGGGCTGGTCACGGGGGGCCCTGTGGTTCTCCTTTGGATTTTGCTCTTGGTGAGGTGGGGAGCCATCTGAGAGTTTTCCGTACAGGAGTGTTGGCAGTGAACTCTTAGAGGAATCCCTAAGCTGTTACATTTGTCACCTTTCTGTTACTGCAAAGAAGTTCCTTTGTAAAAGCCAGCTACTTTTGAAAGAGGTTTATCTTGGCTCAGCCTGAAGATTTGGAGTCCACACAGCATGACGCAGGCTTCTGCATCACATCCCGGTGAAGGTGCACTGACTGTGTGGTCTCTCTCCCTGTCCTTATAAAGCCCCTGGGTTCAGCCATGGGAGCCCCACCCCCATGAGCTAATGTAATCTAACCATTTCCGAAGGCCCCACCTCTAAACACCAAGGTCTGATTAAGTTTTCACACATTCTTTATTAAGACTTGGAGGATGGAACTCCGGCATGACTTTGGGGGCACAAATCATATTCAAGCCAGGACACGTACCTGGAGAGTGGTGAGTCCAGGAGGGTTTAGGGCTGCAGGGAGTCCAGTTAGGAGGCAAAGGGGAATGAAGCCAAGACAGGAAGACTGCCTTCATTGCCTTTACTCTCTTGTAAGCTGGAGACCAGAGGTTGCTGTCTGTGTGCAGCCAGCTTGCTGTGGCCTTTGCCTGGGTTGCCCTGGCGCTGGCCTTGCTGTCCCCAGAGTCAGAGGCACATCAGAGGGTATCTGAGCACTGAGTGGCACTGATCATGGATTCAATGCCATCATGCCCAGGCCTGCCTTTGAATCCCACGTCTGTCATTTACTTGCTGAGTGACTTTTCTTACTCTCCTCATTCAACAATGAGAATTACAAATAATATTCACCACTCCCCTGCAGAACCCTGCTGTAATCCTGGCAGGAGGTAAATGTGTAAGCCCCGCCACCACGTGGTGAGTGTATATGACATGGGATGGGTGTGCATTCAGAGGAGTGCTTCCAAGACTTTGTAAACAAAATGTTTCTGGAACAAGAGAAGGATGGGGTGGGTATTTTACTCTTGTCACCCAGAGGTTCTGGTGACATCCCTTCTGTGTTGGGGAGGGAGGGCACAGGTGCTGTCGTCATCGGCTGGGCTGTCATAATGGAATGCCTCACCCTGGCTCCCTCACCCTCAGAAATGGCCGCTCTCCCAGTTTTGCAGGCTGGAAATCTGAGAGCAGAGTGTCAGTAGGGTTGGTGTCTCCTGAGACCTCCCTCTGTGGCTTGAAGATGGCCACCTACTCCCTGTGTCTGTGCAAGGCCTTCCTTTCCTCTCTCTTGTCTGTGTTCTCATCTCCTCTGGTGAGGAAACCAGTCACTGAATTATCGCCTACCCTACGGCCTCATTTTAACCACCCATTTTTGAAGGCTCCATCTCCAAGTGTTGTCATGTTCTAAGGCACTTGGGGTTAGGACTAAAGCATAAGAATTGGAGGGAGGCCACAGAAAAGCCCACAAGAGGAAGGTGTGAGGCCCACGGAAGTTTGCTCACAGAAAGGGCTATCATTTGGTGCTCTGACTGTCCTTGTCAGTTGTTTCCTGGGTTGTCCACCCCCAGGAGGATAAGGATGGGGTAGAGTAGGTGGTCTTCAGCGGCCCCCTAGCCACTGAATGAAGTGACCATCCTCGTGGCCTCCCTGATTCTAGACTGGGACCTGCGTTCACTTAGTTTTAGAACTTGAGGTGACTCCTGACTCTCCCGTCTCCCCTGGTGACCTTTGGTCCTTTCTCATGGACCTCCGCCTGCTGTGGTTCCTGCTGACCTGTTGCCTTTATTCACTTCGGGCTTCTCCATTCGGTCTGTGTTCTCTGTGGGAGTGGGAGTGATGTTCCTCAAAAGGGGCTGTGCCCTGACCACCTGCCTCAAACCTTTATGTGACTACAGATACAGTGCTCTGTGGTCCAGCCACACTTCCTGCCCCTGGGCTTGGCTCCTCCTTCCTGGGCCATGCGGTTTAGATTTGACGCCCAGAGGAAGATGTCTCAGAAAACTGTGAACCACGTCGTTATCCCTTCTAAGTGTGCAGTGAATACTTCCCTTCTGTAAAGACTTCTCTGACCACCCCACCTGGAAGCAGGATGCCTCTCCCACCTCTGAACCTCCACGCTTGGTGTTTCAGTTCTGCTTGTGGCGTAGTGTCTTGGGAGGCAGAACACAGGAGTCAGAGCCTATACTGAACTCTAGTTACCCTCTATCTCTTTAGCCCTGGGATAACCTTGAGGGAATTATCTAACGTTTTTCTCTCTGTGTGCTCATTTATAAAGTGAGAAGAATAATTTCCTGAGTATTTTTATGAGTTAAATGACATTAATTTCATGAAGTTGCTGACATTCTTAAGGAGTAGCTATTATTGAAGTATTGAAGGAGTAGTGGTTGCTATATCAACAGATGTTTAATAAGTATATTTTTAATTTTTTTTAAAGATTTTATTTATTTTATTTGCGAATTAGAGTTACAGACCGTGAGAGGGAGACAGTGTTGGTTCACTCTCCAAATGGCCGCAACAGCTGGAGCTATGCCGATCTGAAGCCAGGAGCCAGGGGTTTCTTCCTGGTCTCCCATGTGGGTGCAGGGGCCCAAGGACTTGGGCCATCCTCCACTGCTTTCCTGGGCCACAGCAGAGAGCTGGACTGGAAGAGGAGCAACTGGGACTAGAAACCGGCGCCCATATGGGATGCCGGCGCTGCAGGCGGAGGATTAACCTATTGTGCCACGGTGCCGGCCCCCAATCATATATTTTTTTATTTAAAAATTTTTTTCATCTATTTGACCAGTAGAGACATACAGAGAAAGAGAGAGAGAGGCAGAGAGACAGAAATCTTCCATCTGCTGGTTCATTTCCCAAATGCCCACAACAGCTGGGACTGTGTTAGACCAAAGCCAGGAACCCAGAACTCAGTCCTAGTCTCCCCCATGGGTAACAAGGACTCAAGTACTTGAACCATCATCTGCTGCTGCCTCCCAGGGTTTGCAACAGCAGGAAGCTAGAACAGAAGTAGAGCCAGTGCTTGAACTTGGGCACTCCAGTATGGGATGTGGTGGCATCTTAATGGTTGCACCAAGTGCCCACCCCAAATATTTCTGATTAATTGATACATTGATTAATTTATTTCCAATTTAGCTCTGGGATAGAGTTTCTCCACTGCATTTTTTCCCTTTTATCTTGCTATTATTGAATCTACAGGAGAAAATACATATTTAATTCATTAAATTTAAAAACAATAGTCTGTATTTAAAATGGCATTGTATTTTTTATTAGCCCTGGTCCCAAGGATCCTAGGCTGATTGGTAATGACCTCCCCAAGCCCTGTGGCCCCCAACATTCCTGTCACACCTACTCCCTTTAATACAGATAAGAGGAAATACTGGCTTCCATGGGGTTCCTAACTGGTTAAATGCCCGTGCTGTACCTGTTGTTAGATTTCA